AGGTGAACAACTTGTGTTTCGCGCGCTCATATGACCTTAGCAGTTGCGAGCGCCGTAAAACCTTATACTATACTATACTATATATCACTCACTCACTCACTTAAAGGGACAAGAGGGACAAACATTCTCCTGGGACAGACAGACAGGCAGGTGATTAGATCGATGGAAACACGATCAGATAGAAAGATAGATCGACATACAGATCTATAGAGAGCAGTTGCGGTGGGTAGACGAAAATTTAGGTGGGGCTTCAATTGCTTCAACTTCCTTACCACAAAATAGCAAGCAATATGACCTAAACAGTACTGATTTCTCTATAGTCACGGTGGGCCTCGGCATTTTGAGAACCATTCCAAAGAGAAGAGTCACCTTATTCTTTCATGTCTTTGTTCTAAATTAGATTCTTTTAGATGAGGAATGTGCCTTAAAAGTGGAGTCGACGTGATGTATCATTGTCAAATCTCAGCGGCACAAACACAAACATGTACACACAGCACTTCAAACATATTCCATCTATGAACTGGATTAGGCTGTGTAGTCGCGGAAAGTCATTGTCAGGGCTAGGAGAGCGTGAGCACTCAGTACAGTGTTATTTTTTCTAGTCTTCTACCTTTTTATAAGAAGATTTCATTACGAAAGAGGCGTAGGAATTGGCCCATCCTTTGTTGACCCTTGAAAACATAATTTGATGGTATGTAATTGTAAGCGGGGACAGCAGTGATTGGATAAACGAGCGAGCCGCCAAGTTGATAACTCTGTGTTCATTGCGTGCGATCATAAAGGATTCAACTGCTTATTTCGTTAGTTAAGAAACTTTCATTTACTTTGAGATAGAGTGGGGGTGGGGGGGGGGGGTTCTGTAGTCAGTGAGCCCTTCACTACCCACCGGCACTGATAGAGAGATAGGGAGGTCTGTCTCTCTGTCTGGCTGTCTCTATGTCTGCATTTCAGTTTGTCTGTTGCCCTGTCGGTCTGTCTATCCATTTGGCTGTCTGTCGATCGACCTGTTCATCTGCCTCTCTGCATGTCTCTGAGAACGTTCTTCTCTCTTGTCCTCGTCCTTCTCCTCCATCTGCTTTTCTTCCTCGACCTTTTCCAATTCATCATGTTTTAAAGAAGAAAAAATATATACTTGAGACTTCAATAGGGCTGGTCACATTTAATCAGATGTTCGTATAGGCCTGGATGTTCAAGGTCTCACCTTTTAGGCTTCATCAGGAACATCGTATCTGAGAGAGAAAAAAATGAGTGATGACGCCATAGTAATAAAGTGTTCACTATAGATTACGTATAAATGCAATTTGGACAATATCAGAAAGAGCCGAACCTCATCATCATCACTCCCTCCCTCACTCACTCCCTCCCTCACTCACTCCCTCCCTCACTCACTCCCTCCCTCACTCACTCCCTCCCT